CCTTGCTTTCTAGACACTGCTCACCGACGTGGCAGGCTAGGGGCGGCTGAGGCGAAACGTCTTTCCCCTGATAATGACTGCATGATAAACCTGCAACCCCTTCTGTCTCTCAGAATCCTGTCCGTGACACCGATTCGTGTCAGGATCCCCAAGGTGGGATTTGTGATGTGGTTCTTTCATTCTATCTTTGAGAACTAAAGATTAGCAGCAAACCAGGGACTTAAACACCAAAACACACACAGCTTGCACCCACCTGTCCTGACAGGTCAGTGAGGGGGTCTCAGCACAGCATCAAGGAGGCCACCTAAAATTAAAAAAACCAAGGGATTAAAGTTATAGCAGAAACTGCGACCCCAGCAAGAACAACTGCTTCTCTCCACCAACCGAGGCTCACCTTCTATCTGCTTTGCCTTCTCCGCTACTTTCCAGCTTTACTTCCTAGAAATAAATACAAAGAGCAGAGCTGTAACAAAGTGACCGCTTCCAGCCCCGCTGCAAAGTAAAACCGTGACAGACCTTCTCAGGGGAACCCCCTCATCTGGGACAGGCGTTCTGCCAGGAGGTCAATCCATCTGCATCTGAAAGAAAGTTAGGAAAAAAGTCAAAGTGCTGCAGGGTAACTGCACAGCTCCAACCACCTGCTGCCAACATAAGAATACCACCTAGACTCCAACTACAGCCTGTACTACAAGTCTCTGATTACAAGTGCCCAGGACTTATCCTTAAACACCTACAACCGGGCTGGGCACCAGGGCAGAGCAGCTCCAGACCAAATACCCCCAGACACCCGTGACACGTGAGACGAGCGGACGTGACAGGGAGATAAAACTCTCTGAGACAAGAAAGTCCTCACAAGGACCAAGAGAATGCTGAACGAGATGACCAAGGAGGGACCCAAGGAGAGCCTGCTGGGCTCCGATGACCCTAGAGGAAAAAGATGCTAAAGGAACAAGTATTTTCCAAGAACCACAGAGACGGATGCCCGAGAATCCTGTGGCTGGAAGCCTCTGCCTGCCTTTGAATCGGCACAAGTCCTTATCCACTGTAAAGAAACACTGCTGCATATAGCTGTCGACACAGCTGAGAACGAGACCTAAGAAAACATCCGATCACGTGCTTCTAAAGACAGATGCAATTCTGATGCCTGTCCGACCTCCCGAATCAAAGCTTCGCCAGCGCCAGGCCGAAGAACGCAAAGATGGGAGATGAATGGAATGACCCCGGGGTTTCTCATAAGCCCCTGGGAGGGCTAAGGCAATAGAGATGTTACACAAGATGCACATAAGACACAGAAGGCACGAGAGACAAGTGACAACACACCCTGGGACTGCTCTGCCCTGTTCGCCTCAGCATTGCAAACCAAAGTGAGGCTTTCCTTCACTGGGGCCTATGGGGTCATTTCCAGAACCTCCCCATCCCCAAAGCTCACTCAAAAACCCAAACCGATCTCAGTCCTGACCCACCGCCCTGCTTTGATCCCCTCTGCGGGCTCCACTTATCTCTCAGATGGCTGAAGATGTGAGTCACAGAGAGAGGCCGGTCAGGAGCCAAACAAAGCCACCTCGCTGTCTGGGAAGTTCTTCTCTCACCTGGCTGTTGTCTCAGACAAGTATCATCACCTATGATAAAGAAAACCAAATATAAGAACACAATCTTAGTGGCATATTCACCAAAACCCAACTCCTACTCACCATCTCTTAGGAACTCCCAGGTCCTCTGGCCACACGCTTTGGCCACGCTCCGGGGTGGATGTCATCGTCGCAGGGTACACCTTGGATAAATGGAGAGGAGGCAATGTAGCATCGCTGAAAGTTGACCGCGCCCTCGCCGCTCCTTGCGACGTCCCCGACTCGCCATGACTCCTCAGCCGCACCTAAAGGGTACCCGGACCGCACCGACACGTGGACAAGGTCGAGGCTTCGTCACAGACTCCGGTAATATTTGCTGGGGCTCACCAGAGAAGCAAACCGGGTCTCTTGGCAGGTCAGTGAGGGGGTCTCAGCACAGCATCAGGAGGCAGCCTAAAACACACAAACAAGCAGGGAGTTGCACCAAAAACTGAGACCCCAGCAAGAACAACTGCTTCTCTTCACCAACTGAGGCTCACCTTCCACCTGCTTCGCCTTCCCTGCTGCTTTCTGGCTTTACTTCCTAGAAATAAATACAAAGAGTAGAGCTGTAACACAGTGACCGCTTCCAGCCCCGCTGCAAAGTAAAATCGTGACCGACCTTCTCAGGGGGATCCCCTCATCTGGGATGCGGCGCTCTGCCACGAGGTCCATCCGTCTGCATCTGAAAGAAAGTTAGGAAAAAAGTCAAAGTGCTGCAGGGTAACTTCACAGCTCCAGACACCTGCTGCCAACATAAGAATACCAGCTAGACTCCAACTACAGCCCGTATTACAAATCTCCAATTACAAGTGCCCGGGACTTATCCTTAAACACCTACAACCGGGCTGGGCGGCAGGGCAGAGCAGCTCCAGACCAAATACCCCCAGACACCCGTGACACGAGGGGACAGGACAGGGAGAGAAAACTCTGAGACAAGAAAGTCCTCACGAGGACCGAGAGAATGCTGAACGAGATGACTGAAGAGGGACCGAAGGCGAGCCTGCCAGGCTTGGATGACCCTGGAGGAAAAAGATGGGAAAGGAACAACTTTTTCCAAGAACCGCAGAGACGGATGCCCGAGAATCCTGTGGCTGGAAGCCTCTGCCTGCCTTTGAATCGGCACAAGTCCTTATCCGCTGTAAAGAAACACTGCTGCATATAGCTGTCGACACAGCTGATAACAAGACCTAAAAAAACATACTATCACATGCTTCTAAAGACAGATGCGATTCTGACGGGTGTCCGAGCTCCCGTATCGAAGTTTCGCCGGCGTCGGGCCGAGGATCTCAAAGATGGGAGATGAATGGAATGATCTTGGGTTTCTCATAAGCGCCTGGGAGGGCTAAGGCAATAGAGATGTTGCACAAGATGCACATAATATACAGAAAGAACGAGAGACAAGTAACAACCCACCCTGGGACTGCTCTGCCCTGCCCACCTCAGCATTGTTAGCTAAAGTGAGCCTTTCCCTCACTGTGGACCCAGAGGCCATTTCTCAAACCTTCCCCTCCCCATAGCTGACTCAAAACCCCTAAATGGTGTGAATCCTACCCCACCGCCCTGCTTTGATCCCCTCTGTGACCATGGCCCTTGACTTATCTCTCCGAAGTGAATCTGTGCGAGAGGCCAATCTGCTGCTAAGGACAGCTGCTGCAGGGGCGGTTCCCTTTTGTGTTACAATGAATCTGCTGAGAAAATCTGAAGTATCGCACTTGACGTGGCCTAGAACTTCTGGAAATTGCAATCCTCCTAAAAAAAAAAAAGCCAAGAAGAAGAGTCATGATAAAAGCATCTTATTTCCCCTGAACCCCCAACCCAAAATCATGAGCTTAAATACTCCCTGTGTTCAATATTGTTTTCTTCAAGGTGTTTTCCAATATTGTTTTCTTCAAGGTGTTTTCAAAGCTTTGGCTGCTGCAAATGCCCAAAAGATGCCTGCTCTTAGCAGGCTAAAGTAAATTGAAAGAGCTGCTTCACTGAAATGAGAGAGGAGCTCTTTACCCCCACTGATTCCCCTGGAGGGAATAATGCCCCTTAGCACAGCCTGGGGTTAATATACCCCT